GAACATTTTTCACACAAGGTGTAATATTTCAAATAAGGCTTGTTCTCTAATTGTGGATAGTGGATCTTGGTGCAATTGTTGTAGCACTAGGATGGTTGAAAAGTTGGGATTAACTACCACACCCCATCCAAAACCTTATCAACTTCATCGGCTCAATGATGATGGGGACATGGTGGTTAACCAACAAGTGCAAGTAGATTTTTCCATTGGGAACTATCAAGATAAAGTTAAATGTCATGTAGTTCCCATGGAAGCTTGTCATATTTTGTTGGGAAGGCCATGGCAATTTGATAAACAAACACATCATGATGGCTTCTCTAACAAAAAAACTTTCACTCATAAGGTTAAAAAGTTTGTACTTCACCCTCTTACAGCTTCACAAGTAGTAGAGGATCAAGTACAAATGAAGACCAAACGTGACCAAGAAAAAGGAGAAGAAAACAAAAAAAAGGAGAGTAAAAAAAAACCTCTAAAAATTAGGACACAAGAGGATTCTAGAGAGACTAGTGTTCCCTCTCTAGAGATAGTTCAAGAAGAGAAGTTTGAAAAAAAAAACTTTGCAAAAAACATCTCTCTTACTTGAACCATCTTCTTATATCCTCATGTGTAGAGGAACATTCACATGCATTGCCACAAATCATATGGAACGTTCTCTACCTTTTGAAATTCAAAATCTTTTGATAGAATTTGATGATGTATTCCCTAGTGAAGGCCCTATGGGACTTCCGCCTTTTAGGGGAATAGAACATCAAATAGATTTTGTACCTGGAGCTAGTCTACCAAATAGACCAGCTTATAGGACAAATCCTCAAGAAACAAAAGAGATAGAGAAACAAGTACAAGATTTGTTGGATAAGTGTTGGATTCAAAAGAGACTAAGCCCTTGTGATGTGCCTGTTTTATTGGTGCCTAAAAGGGATGGAAAATGGAGGATGCGTTGTGACTGTAGAGCCATCAACAACATCACCATTAAATATAGGCACCCAATTCCTAAGCTTGATGAGATGCTTGATGAATTACATGGGTCATCCATATTCTCCAAAATAGATCTTAAAAGTGGATATCACCAAATTCGGATTAAGGAAGGTGATGAGTGGAAGACTGCTTTTAAGACTAAGTTTGGATTATATGAATGATTAGTAATGCCATTTGGGCTTACTACTGCACCTAGTACATTCATGAGGTTGATGAATCATGTCCTTAGGGATTGCATTGGTAGGTTTGTAGTTGTTTATTTTGATGATATATTAATCTATAGGAAAAGTCTAAGTGATCATGTGGATCACCTAAGACAAGTGTTGCTTGTGCTTAGAGACAATCACTTGTTTGCCAATGTAGACAAGTGCACCTTTTGTGTTGATAATGTTGTATTCTTGGGATTTGTGGTGAGAAAACAAGGGGTTCATGTGGACCCCGAGAAAATCAAAGCCATTCAAGAATGGCCTATTCCTACTAAAGTAAGTGAAGTTAGGAGCTTTCATGGATTAGCAAGCTTTTATAGACGTTTTGTTCCTGACTTCTCTACATTAGCTTCACCTCTCAATGAATTGGTGAAGAAGGATGTGGTTTTCCTATGGCAAGAAAAACATAATTTAGCATTTCAAGAACTTAAGCAAAAACTCACTCAGGCACTTGTTCTAGCTCTCCCTAATTTTTGCAAAACTTTTAAGCTAGAATGTGATGCTTCAGGTATTGGCATAAGAGCTGTGTTGTTACAAGGTGGCCACCCCATAGCTTATTTCAGTGAAAAACTTCATCGGGCTGCCTTGAACTACCCAACCTATGACAAGGAGCTGTATGCTTTAGTTCGCGCTCTTCAAACTTGGGAGCATTATCTTGTGACCAAGGAATTTGTCATTCATAGTGATCATGAATCACTTAAATACTTGAAGGGCCAAGGTAAGTTAAATAAAAGGCATGCTTTATCAAGTATAAAAAGGGCTCTACAAATGTAGTAGCTGATGCTTTATCAAGAAGGCATGTGTTGTTAAACAAACTAGGATCTCAAATACTAGGGTTTGATGACATAAAGGAATTGTATGAGAAAGATCCCGATTTTGCTAACTTTTATCTTTTATGTATTCAAAAACCTTATCAAGGTTACTATATTTTCGAGGGGTTTCTTTTTAAAGAAAACAAACTTTGTATTCCCCAAGGATCTATTAGGAAACTTTTGGTAAAGGAGAGCCATGAGGTTGGGCTCATGGGGCATTTTGGAATTGAGAAATCTCTTTTACTTTTAAAAGAGAAATTCATTTGGCCTCATATGAAAAGAGATGTTCAAAGGTTTTGTACTAGATGGATAGCTTGTCTTCAAGCTAAATCTACAACAAAACCTCATGGACTATACACCCCCTTGCCCATATCCAATGCACCTTGGGTTGACATTTCCATGGACTTTGTTCTTGGTTTGCCTAGAACCCAAAGTGGAAAGGATTCCATCTTTGTGGTAGTGGACCGTTTTAGTAAGATGACACATTTTATTCCATGCCACAAAGTGGATGATACAAGCAATATTGCTAAGTTATTCTTTCAAGAAGTAGTGAGACTTCATGGGTTACCTAAAACTATAGTCTCTAATAGAGATGTTAAGTTCCTTAGCCACTTTTGGAAAACTTTGTGGGCAAGGCTAGAAACTAAACTTTTATTTTCTACCACATGTCACCCACAAACTGATGGGCAAACTAAGGTAGTCAATAGGTCTCTTGGAGCTATGTTGAGGGAAATTCTCAAAGGCAATAAAAAGTCATGGGATGACTATCTCCCTCATGTGGAGTTTGCCTATAACAGGGTGGTTCATAAAACCACTAAGATGTCTCCTTTTGAGATTGTTTATGGTTTCAATCCTCTTACCCCTTTAGACTTATTACCCCTACCTGATGTTGCTTCTTTTATTCATCAAGAAGGAACATCTAGGGCTGAATTTGTTAAGAACTTGCATGAGAGGGTTAGAAATCATATACAATTCCAAACTGAAAAATACACAAAATACAATAATACGGGTAGAAAGGAAGTTGTATTCAATGAAGGTGACTGGGTTTGGCTCCACCTTAGGAAGGATAGATTTCCTTCCAAAAGAAAGTCTAAACTTAGCCCTAGAGGAGATAGACCATTTCAAGTCCTTAAGCGCATCAATAATAATGCCTATGTCCTAGATGTTCCCTCTGAGTATGGGGTTAGTCCTAGTTTCAATATATCTGATTTATCTCTTTTTACAGGACTTGCTGATCAAGAGGAGGATTCTTTGAATTTGAGGTCAAATCCTCTTCAAGAGGGAGGGGATGATGGAGGCCCATGGGCCAAGGGCCCAACTACTAGGGCTATGGCCAAGAGGATGCATGAAGAATGGGCCAATGCTTAAGAGAAGCCCATAGTACTTTTTAGTTGGGCTTTAACACAAGCCCAAGTAGAATAGGTTGTAGTATAGGTTTGGGCCTTTGGGCTTGTATTGTATCTTTGGGCCTTGTATTTTGGCCACCTAGATTAGGAATGTCATTTCATCATTAATTGCCTCACACATCCCACCCTATGCCAAGGTCACGCCTGTAGCATCTCTTGCCCAAGGTCATGCCACTCCCGACATAATAGCATGAGAAATTACACATCCTACACTGTGCCAAGGTCACACTTGCAACATCTCTTGCTCGAGGTCGTGCCACCCCCGACATAAGCATGAGGAATCACCCATCCCATACTATGCCAAGGTCACGCCTGTAGCATCTCTTGTCTAAGGTCGTGCCACCTCTGGTCACAAGTGTGAGGAACCACAATCACATTCACATTCACATCCATATCCACATCTCAATTCCACAATACATACACAATCCACACAAAATGGTGGTTCACATACCCCTCAGGTAATTCACCATGAATCCTCACCTAGATCATCAATTTTATCAAATAATATAACAATAACATTCATAAATTAATATAATAATCAATAGAATTAGCAATTTAATATAATCTTAACATAAACGGTAAAATTCCCAATTATTCCAAAACCTAACTCACAACACTTTTCTACAATTTCATTCTCTTTCCCAAATCATCATTCTTACAAATTAAATATATATTTCTCATCCTTAACATATACCGATTCTAATGGGATCATCAATTTCTCAAACAGAAATAATCCAATTTTTCCAAAACCTAGCCTGCAGACACTTTTCTATAATTTTGTTCTCTCTCCCAAATCATCATTCTTACAAACTAAATATATATTCATAATCCTAAATATATACAAAATCACATAAGACCAATAATTCTCCAAACAGAAGTAATTATAAAATTACTCATAATCTTACGAGCTTCCTCTTCTACCCAATTCCCTCATGTAACTTTGCATATAAATAATCACATTTTCCCCGTATCTGGATAAACAGTAGCTGAAACTAAGGATCTGGTTGATCTCCTCCGCTGGGTTCCCCTCGGCCTTCAGAGAGTGCAGAAGAAGAGAAAAGAGAAAAGAAGAAAAGAACTTAGAAAATGAGAGGTGTGTTTTTTTGGGAGTGGTAGAGTGCTCTATTTATAGGCATCAGGCTTCGCCGGAACGACCCGTTCCAAATCCGGAATGGCTCGTTCTGGACCCTTAACTCACGACTAAAAATCACATCCAGAACGACCCGTTCTCAAACCAGAACAGCACGTTCTGGGATGCATTTAATACTCGCAACAGTCATGTTTTGGAACGGCCCGTTCTCAACTCTGGAACGGCCCGTTCTCACTTTGGGAACGCCCCATTCCCATCTAAAATTTGTAGACAATTTTTGTATTTTGGAAGGGCCCGTTCCATTTCTGAAACGGCCCGTTCCGGGCTACGAAAAATAGGTCTATTTAGTAATTTGGAACGGCCCGTTCCGGCCTACTAAACTACCTTAATTGGGTTCTTAGCTGAGTAAAAATTGGGCTGTTACAACATTAGTTTAAAAAAAAGCTTAGAATATGAGTGAAAGAATAAAAGAGAATAAAATAAGAGAATTTATTGCTGGAGGATTTAGATGGAATTCAAAGAAAAACAGCCGGAAGGCATTAGCTTTGATTATTTTATTTAGTCAAGTAATATTAACCATTACAAGCAAAGCATTTATTTACTCTTCCTCCCCCACCACGAAAAACCACAAGATTTTTCAAGGCCAGCGCCGGCGCTGGCGCATCATGCAGATGACGACGCAACCTTCACAAACTGAATCACCATCGGGTTCTTGTCGGTCACCACCAATCGCCGGTTACCTTTTGCGTCCTTATGAATCCCGATATTCTCACACGAGTCGTCCTCACGTGCGCAAAACATAAGCTTATAGTTGTTAAGTTTCGGCGAAGACGAAACACTCATAATCTTGAACCAACCCTCTACTGTGCTTTCGTAGCCGCCACTAATCTTAACAGCGGGCCCTTCCGGTAGCCCCTCCACAACGGTCCACCAGGGGTTGGACGCACACTCGGGCGAAGAAGAGAACCCAATGCGCACTTTGGAGTCTTCGGGGATGAAGTAGGAACGGAGTGAGGATGCAATTTTTACCGGTAGCCCGTTGACGACCTCAAAGGGAGATTGCACTACGGTGAGAGGGCACGTTTCTTTTCCGGTTCTGACTCGTTCTATGCCACCTCCTTTTCCCATTAAATCTGGCATGAGGTAGTATGCGGCAACGTTGTTCTCAACGGGTTCGCCATCGACGTCGAGAACGAGTTTAGCGGTGGTTGACGCTATGAATGCCGAAAGGAGAATGATGCTCAACACTGTGCTGCTCTTCATCTCTTCCGAAGCTATCGAAGGCTTTCTTTCAATTTCCAACAGTGTTAACTACTTATAGAAAAGGAAATGAGGGTTAGACACTCCTATTATAGTTCATATGGTAGCCAAAATTAATTATAGATGATATCGGTTTAATATGAAAGAGAATAGAGGGGGAAAATGGCATTTAGTTGATATGATGAAATTAAAAAAAAATGGGAATACTATATATTTATTATTATATTTTTAATTTATATTTTAGCAACCAATAATATATATATATATATATATATATATATATATATATATATATATAAAATATGCACACTATATTTTTATTT